TTGCACGATAATAGTCAGTTCTTCTCTTTCCAAAGCGTTAAACCTTGTGAAGTAGAGGACAGGCTTAAAAAGCTGAAGCTAGGCAAGGCTATGGGCTGGGACCTAATCCCCCCGAGGGCACTTATATCTGGGGCTAGTGAATTGGCTGTACCACTTGCCAATCTGTTTAACATCTGCATTGAGCAGGGGCATTGGCCAACTGACTGGAAGAAGGGAGAATGGACCCCAGTTCACAAGAAAGACAACCAACTGCAAAAAGAAAACTATCGTCCTGTGACTGTGCAAATTGTTATTAATAAAATCTTTGAGCAACTCCTTTCTTCCCAAATCACTGGTAACTATAATAATCGGCTGTGTGACCATTTGACTGCATATAGAAAGAGGAACAGTTGCGAGACTACCTTGTTATACCTGACTGAGAGCTGGAGGCACTCATTGGACAATGGGGAGTGTGTAGGTGTGTTGTCAACAGATATGAGTAAGGCGTTTGTTTGTCTGTTCCCACCACTCATGCTGGCTAAACTAAGAGCATACAGCTTTGATGATGTCAGCCTCAAACTCATGGCATCATATTTTGAAAATCGCAAAGCAAGAGTGAAGCTAGGGAACACAACAAGCAGATGGAGGAAGATGGTAAGAGGGTGCCCTCAAGGCTCTTCTCTAGGCCTTTGATGTGGAATCTTTATCAGGATGATCTGACTTATGTAATGAAGTCGAATATCTCCATGTATGCGGATGATCACCAGTTTTTCGAAGGAAGTAAAGATGTCCAGCTAATCCAAACAAGATTACAGGAGAGTGCAGTTGCAGCAACAAGTTGGTATAAAGAGGACTGTTTTACAGGGAAACTTTACCAAATATGGTAGCATGCTCTTTAGCAAGCAAAAAGATGCCAATATCAATATTGACATAGACGGTAATAGAGTTTCCCACTATCAGAACATTAGATTATTAGGTGTACGCATTGATTCTCAATTGACCTTTAATGTCCACATAAGTGAGATTTGCAAAAAGGCTAGTCAGAGAGTGGGAGTAATGATAAGGTTGTGCAACTTGATACCAACCACTGCTAAGCTGCAGCTGTATAAGGGTGCAGTCTTGCCCTATTTGACTTATTGCAGTACTTTATGGCACTTTTGTAGGGGAAGTAATGCAAGAAAAGTGGAGCATGTCCAGGAGAGGGATCTTAGGGCAGTTTTCCGTGACTGGAACGTGAACTATAGGCCTAAATTGCCCACCCTAGTGAACCGTAGATTGCAAGATATAGCAACGATCATGTATAAAGTAAAATTTAAGCTAGCACCAAGCTATATACAAGATTTATTTTCAGCAAATCACACAGTGTATAACTTAAGAGTTAACGAATTTACTATTCCAAGATTTAACTCTATTAATTATGGCAGGCATTCCCTTAGGTATTTAGGACCTGTGCTATGGGCTAAGCTACCTTCCCGTATTAGGACGTTGAATTCACTAGCGGGTTTTAAGAGGGCAGTTAGAGGAATGGATTTGAAAATGTTAATGGACGATGGTGGCTGTGTGGGCTGCTTGGTTTGCAGTGCATGATTCTTAGTTATATCTTAATTAGGCTCAGACTATTCCTCCCCCCCC